ATGCGAATTCTGTATAAATACACATGCACACTTTTAAACAAAAATATTTATACACTTTTGATTTTTTGCAAAGTAAAAATGAGTAGAAAATTTCACCCGCAACTTTTGTTTGAACATTTTCAAACATTTGTGGAAAAGCAAAATTCGCTTTTCCTCCCCCTTACCTGCTAAAACCCCACTAAAACCAAACGGCAAAAATCCGCCCCTTTTTGACCAGTTTTCTCCATTAGCCGTGTATAAACCTGCCGCAATAATTAACACCATTACGAACAAGTTGATGGTGGTTAGGCAGGTATTGACCAGTGCGGAATGTCTCACGCCAATTCCTGCAGAAAACGTGTGTGTCATACACAATAAAATTATGTGCGATTACAATTATTTAAATTAAATTAGAATTAAAAAATGGATTTTAGAAACAATCTCATTGTTTGTGGTCTTACCTAGAACCATAGCGTAAAATATGCAAACAGCAAAAGCGAGAAAATCCGGATATTTCCCCAACAGTTGCTCATGCATTTCCCCCGTTATGGACAATGTTGTATTACTTATCACGCCTCCTAGAAGAGAATCCAGATACCCGCTCCAAGCTCTGGCAACAGAAGCAGCACCTTAAAAAATCGCTTTAGTGATACAGAAACCCGATTCCTTTCTCCCTACCAATCATGTGCTCTAGGAGAATATTCCAGCCAATCAAGAACGCCCAGAATTCTCCGATGGTTATATAGGTGTAAACATACGCAGATCCAGCTTTGGGTATGCGTGTGCCGAATTCGGCATAGCAAAGAGCAGATAGCAAACATGCGAGTCCAGCTAGAAGGAAGGAGATAACGATACCTGGACCTGCTATGTCTTTTGCAACAGTGCCAGTTAAGACGTAAATTCCGGCACCTACCATATGCCCAATACCTAAAGAAGAAACCCATCATAGAAGTTTCATCCAGAAAATTGCCAAAAGCATGCTAAATCAAGTTCAAAGAGCTTGCGGAAGCTCCGGTTGCCATCGTTTAAATAGGAAAATATTGGGCTAACAAACACGGAAAATTACAATCAATCAGGACGAAAAGTGAATAAATACCAAGTAAAGTGATGTCAAAAGTGTGCAAACAGCGATTCAAAGGAGTTTCCATGACGTCGGATGGTATTTTCATTTTCCGGTTCATCTTGGTGCAGATTCCAGACATCACGTGCTTCAGGATCATTTTTCTGGAACTGGGCATTTTGGTCTATGGAAAATCCAACCAATCTGCAACAAGAACACCATCTCAACAGTTCAAAGGCGTTCTTCAAAGCCCAAAAATATCCAGATTCCGGTACAAGTTCTAGTTAGATTTTTAAAAATGTTAATACTCAACCAAACCATTTTTTATACATATTTTAGTTGTTTATTCATTAGAGGCAGGTTTGGATGGTTATTTAACTGCAGCTCAACTTCGCTAAGCAATTTTCAATACTTACCAGAGGCAGTTATTTATTGTTATTAAAATACCGTTTTAACCGAGGCTAAACAAAGTCAAAGTCCTGTAAAGTTCCATGAAAAATTATATTAAACTGATCCAATATGTTCTGAAATGGACATCGTTTTCGGGGTGTTTTGCATGGAAAATCCACGGAAACTCGAACGGATCTGGCGCATGCTGTTGGAAAAATCGATTTCTGGATCCGAGCGCGGTGATCAAATATTTGCCATTGTGATTCCGTCACGATTAGTCTGGCCAAATCAAAAGGCAAAAAAGCCGAGACACAAAAATGAATAGAAATTGCAAAATAACGATGAGAGAAGCCATTATTCCTGGCGTTGAAACTCCAAGCAACCCTTTGATAAAAGGGGTTTTTATTTAGTGGACAAAGTCACGTGAGAGAAGTGAAGAAAAACCAAAAAAGTAATCAGAGATTAAAATTTTTGAATCAAGCGTCTTGACTTTTAGGCGTATGGATTTTTTCGGCTTTTGTCCAGTGCAGAATTTTATCGTATTTTACAGTATTTTTGAGGCCCAAAAGTTGATTTTATCCCTAGAATTTCTATGTTTCTAACTCATATACAGATTGATTGACAATAGCAGAGCTCCTCAAAGGGCGGCATCTGAATCATGAATTAAGAAGGAATTCTTATATTCAAAATCAATCAATTGAAAAAAAGTGTATTTCTTCTGAAATGTTAGTAGTTTTTCTTCCATTTAGCTTTTGCAGTTTTTAAGTGAAAATTCAATTTTTCACACACTCGCTTTTTTGTCACGACAGTTTTTTTAGCCGCAACTGGTCTTTCCGGGTTATAAATTTTGGTTTTCTATTCAATTTTAAGACTTTTAGGTGTCTTGTGTTTTTTCGTGTCTGCAACGGATTTTGAGTAAAAAGGTCATTTTCATTTAAAGTTATTTCAATTAAGTGCGATTTTCTAATTCCTTTAAAGCTTCGCCAAAACACCGATTTGTGTGCTTTATTTTTATTGCTTATTGACGTCGAAAAATAATTTTATTCAACGAGATTTTCCTAGTTTATTAATTTTCTCTTACTCTTAATAGCCATTAAAATGTTTTTCGCTGCTTTTGATTTATTGTTTTGTTTTGTACGCTGAAAATGCGTTAAAATTCGCAAAAAGACGTCGAAATTTGCGACAATTTGATTGAAGAACCATGGCAGATCTAAAGCGAGCCCATATTGAAATCACAATTTGAATTTTGAATTTCTTAGCCTGATTTTCTGTTCTAATATTTCACTATCGCAATTGCACTTTTTGAAAATGTGCAATCTAAAACGAAAAAAATGCAAGAACCTGATTGAACAGACAACCAAATTTCGTGTGAAAATCCTGTGAGTTTTAGGGGAAAAACAAACCTGGTACCAATGAACCTTCATCCAAAGAGCCTGCAGCTTCATGGCAAAAAAATGTTTCAGTTTAACCGGCTTGAACTGAAGCTGAGCTTTAGAACTTCAAAAAAAAGTCATAATTTTCTCGTGTAAACGATCGCACATTTCAATCAAACTTCCGTTGAATGCGTAGCCGAAGAACAAAATTAATTAAAACTAGAGCCAATTAAAATGGGATTAAGTAAGATATAAGTGCGCGATAGGAGATGATTTTTCTCGGATGCTTTAATTCATGCTAAGCCTGTTGATATACAAAATTGTTAAAGAATTTATTCAAATCATTGCTGCGGGTAGCCGGTCAGTTAACCCGGCCCGAGTGGATGTTTATATCCACTTATTTGCATAAAGTGGTCGGATGTGTTATCACTTCAGTTACCAAGATTGAGACAAATTTCTGCAGAGTCGCATGTCAATTAATTGTTTAGGAAAATTGCTAATTGCAATCGTTTTAGCTTTAGAGATTTTTGGGGACCATTTCCGAATACTTTGTATATCGACTGGCAGAAGCTGCTTTTGAACCATCCTGTATTTATGGGGTTCTTTCTCATAGTTCAACTAGTAAAAATTTGCTGAAACAGTCGTAAAATTTACGTGACTTTCTCGTTTAAACGTGGAAAGATGCAAGTTTCTAAAATGTCTTTACCTTCGTATGAAGCATTACAAATATTTCCATTACGATAATTTGCTCGAACCAATCATGCTGCCTGCTGGGAGCTTTTCTACATTGTAAAGCGGCAACATCGGTTAATTTTATACCATCTCGTGATGGTCGCGGATCGACACCATGACCTTCCACGGTCAATGCTTCTTCAGGCGTTAAGACAGCAGCCCAGCAGCTGCCTATTCGATCATCTATTGCAACACTAAAACCAATCACTTTTCGATTAATATTCTCAATCAAATCAAATGTTTAGTCGACGCTCAGAGCCAGCAAATGGACATTTTTTTTTATCTTACTAGATGATTTTTGAACATTTTTTAACAAGAACAAGATCTGTTTCAACATCGACTTGAATCGTCCTTAAATTTGAAGACGTCGCATTGAATGGACTATTTTTGAATGATTCTGCTCTTATTTAACTGAAAAAAACGACTCGTTTAAGTAAATCTCGATATTTAAAAATGAAATGGCGAAGCAGAGGATTTTCTTCTCAATCCATTGATAATTTGCCATTTTCTATTTGCATTTTATCTCAAATTTTTCGAGTTTATGGCCTTCTGTGGTTTTCTGCACACTCACGTTTTGTGCACGTTCAAGTAAGCGTTTTGAAAAACACAAACTTTATTTACAAACTCCAATTTTATTTTTAATTTACTCCGGAAATTTTTGATCCCGAATCGCTGCTCTTAGTTCGTCTGTATAACCGAAAAAGTGTTTTATTTAGAAATTTGAAATTGTTTTCTATAAGTTATGAGAAATTTCCCGATTCAACATTGATTTGCCCATTTCACTTTCTGCGTCTTTTTTCCTAAATGTTCACACTTGAAAGCTATGATCAAGGTGTAGTCAAGAAAATTTTAATTTCATGATTTTGAGAGTTTCTTAGTGGAATTTGTCTGCAAAACTCTTTGAAAAAGCAAACGATTTTCACTAGTTTTCTAGAGCAATTTTGTTGCGTTCTAAATATAACTTTTCCTCCAACCATTTCGACACAAAATATACAAAGTAACAAAACCTTTTGTTTTCAATTGCATTTTAAACGATTTAGAGCGAACACTGACCAAATTGTTCAAAAAATGACCATCACTTCATTCAGCTTCGGGTTGTTTTTGACTTTTTTGAACGCGTAGTTTTTTTTGTTTTAATTCCATCGCTTTGAACGTTTTTTCTTAATTACAAAAACTGTCCTTAGAAATGCGAATTACTGTTAGCACTGAGGAATGCATTTTAATCATAATTTTTCCGATTTATTTTATTGCTTCCGTTAGTTCGAGAAACCGTAGTTTGCTTCCTGTTGTTGGCGAGTTAAAGCGATTTTGCGCCTCTACCTTTTTTGTCTACTAAGTCAGGAACTTGTTTAAAAAAATATTTGAACAAGCTTGGCAAAAACTGCGCTAAAAGTAAAAGTGTTTTTTCAACTCTCGTAAATAAAGCACACACAGATCGTGAATGAAGTTAATGTTTTCACCGAATTATATTTTTTTCCTGTAATCCAGTTTTTCCATCTCATCCCGCTCGGTATTTCCTGGAAATAATTAGATCGCAAATAAATCTCGTCTCCATATAATTTGCAGATGGAAAAATCAGCACCGCAAATTATATCATTAAACACATCCATACGTAATTATTTATTTACAGCGTCTAATTTAAAAAAAGGCACGGAATTAGCCGAAGTAACTGTCCAACGCTGCGGGTTTCGACAACACGGCGCCAGCAAACCATCAAGATTACCAACGATTAAAGAAGACGATCTCGGCTGAAAAGCAACACAAAATGCGAATATTTTAGTGAAATGTTGATCGAATCTTTGATTGGTTACATTAGTGGCGCTCAAATGAACATCTCCGGTCTAGTTAAAGCTTGATTGATTCTCCTTATGAAGTTAGGACGCAAAAAATGTTCTGTCTTTTTGCCCAATTTCCGCACAACAAAATGCAAATTATTCGAATTTTTACACTCAGGAATACAGGAATTTTTTGAAGAAGATCGGGCAATCTTTTGAAAAATGAGTTTGAGAGTTTGCGAGGGAGACGTTCAAAAATCAGTTAGTTCATTTCAAACCGCAAGAAACGGAAAGTTGATGATTTTTGCCCCAGAAAGAGCGGATTTTTCGGTAGATTCTGATGTTCCTACTCCGGCCATCATTAGGGATTTTTAGAACAATATCGACTATTGAGTCATAATGATCAAAACAAGTTGGACATGTTTACGACGTTAAACGTCCAAAAATCAGTTT